TATTTTTTCTCTATGTAGTTAAAGTAAATATTCTGCAATTTTTAGCCTTTTACCTATAAAATAGCAAATATATAATAGACTTCTTTCGAAATACGATTTTGATGACAATTTTCTTGTCGAAGATGAGCTACACCCCTCAAATACATCCAAGTATCCCGTGGTGCACTCTCCCCCTTCGTCATAAATTGGTTTTGAAAGAAGTCTAATGTAATTCCTAAATCTTACTATATTCGAGTGATTAAGCAAAGAGCTATCATTCATTACTGTCAGCTATCTAGCACAGCGTGGCATTAGACCTCTTTCGAGGCTGATCAATTTTGTCGCAGGAAGATGAGAGCTACACTCATTAATACATCCTACGGTACTTCGATTGCACTTCTCCTCTTACAATAAATTGGTTTCGGAATAGGTCTATTCACACCTTATTAACTTATAGTTAAAGCATCTTCTATCAAAAATAGTATAAATTCTTTTCCATTCCAATAATTNTTTGGTTCACAGAGCCTAGTACAGTGTGGCATTAGACCTCTTTCGAAACTGATGGCAATTTTGTTGTCGGAAGCTGAGCTACACTCCTCAAATACATCCTGTGGTGCTTCACTTGCACTTCTCCTCTTACCATAAATCGAGTTTCGCAAGAGGTCTATTCACACCTTATCAACTTATGGTTAAAGCATCTTCTATCAAAAATTGTATAAATTCTTTTCCATTCCAATAATTCATAGAAATTTTACCTACAATGGCCTTAATATTATTCTGCATAATAGCAAGACCAAGTTTAGTGTTTGCAGAACGAAAAGCTATAGCCCTTACCATAGCGTTTTCATCAGTGATAAAGCACTTTATATGATCCGTACCTATAATTTCCGGTTTTGTTATTCTTACTCCCTGAATCATAAATCTCGGCTCCGGATTGCCAACTCCGAAAGGTTCTAAGCGCTGTAATTGATTCCATAAAGATAAATTTATTGCTTTAACTGTAATTATTCCATCAACTTTTAAAGTTTTTTCGTTTATGGAACCTGCAAATCTCTCGGTAAAAAAATCATACAAGTCATTTATTTTATGCTCTTCAACAGAAAATCCTGCTGCCATGCTATGGCCACCTCCTTCAATAATCAAATTCATAAATTTTGCAGAAAGTACTGCTGCACCAATATCAACACCAGAAATTGACCTACAACTCGCTTTCCCTATTCCATTACTCAAAGATATCACTATTGCCGGCAAATGGAATTGCTCCTTCAATCTTGATGCAATAATACCAATTATGCCCTGGTGCCAATTGCTACTTATCATAATAAATTTTGTATTTAATTTAACAGATTTCTCAGCCTGCGTTATAGCTTCCGATAGAGCCTCATTTTCTAATACTTTCCTGGCATTGTTTAAGTTCATTAACTTTAGCGCAATTGTATGTGCTTCTTCTTCACTGCTTGTAGAAAGTAATCTTGCCCCTAATGATGCCTCTCCTATTCTTCCTCCAGCATTTATACATGGCCCTATACTGAATCCCAATCGAGAGACGTTTGGTTTTTCCAGCATCCCCAAAACATCAATTAAAACACGCAAGCCAACATTTTTTCTTGCCGACATCACCTTTAATCCTTGTGAAACAAATGCTCTATTCAAACCAGTAATCTGCATCACATCACATACGGTTCCAAGGGCAACTAGATCTAGTAGATCAAATAAATCTGGTTCAATAGACCTCTTTCGAAACTCAATTTCTGATGGCAATTTTGTTGTCGAAGCTGAGCTGTGCTCCTCAAATACATTCTGCGGTGCTTTGCTTGCACTTCTCCTCTCACCATAAATCGGTTTCGAAAGAGGT